AAACGCTCAGACCCGTCGATTTTAGATTAAAAGGGGACATTCTTTGCTCTTTGACTCAGCCACTTTCACCCCCAAGCAAGAGTAAGCATCACCCCAAAATATTTAAATGGCATTGGGGGTTGAGTAATATTTCTTTTGAAAGCTCTTACAATTCTCTTTACAACAGACTTTAAATTTTATAATTCCGCCCAATACTTATTAAGAATTTTGATTTTAAAGTTGAAACTTATGTACAAACAATTAGTAACGGTAAAAATGTCAGTCATTCGAGTTAAATACGCCAATGGTATAAATTTAGTATTTCTTGCGTTACATTGGTTTTTGGCGATTTGTTATCACTTTCGTAAAAAAAATACAATTGTCAAAAACTTACTAGTATAACTTACAGTATATTTTGTGTGAACGAAACCTTACTATTTTTTTTATTTCCGAGATTTAATTAAGTACCTATGTTAAATATTTACCACGACAAACCATCGAACTGAATAATGAAATTTGCTCGGAAAATTGTGATAGCATTTGGGCGATTTTTCTGATCACCAGGTATATGTCCTTGTCCTTGTGTAACCTATTATACAATCAACCGCATAACCATAGACAAATAATATACATAGGTGAATAATCGCGCAAAAGGTAGTCTAGAATTCTCCTCAACTATAATGTATTTAGATGCAGACAGGTCATCAATTTTTGACTGGTTAAAGCGTGGATTATTTAGTTGGGACATAAACAACAATATCTGCCTCGATAATGCGTCCATTAATTAGATATATAACGTGATTCTATTTACGTGTTTTTATTCATTATTCATGTTATTCAGGTCTTTTTGATACGCCGCAGCCGCCTTATAATTTGTAGCTAAATGTTTCTTATATATCTGGTATAAACCAGTATGGGCGGCTATTTATTGAAATAAATAACGAATAAAAACATTTTGGGAATTCCTTTTCTCCTGTATAATTTGTTTTATACGCGATTTTATATTATATAAAGAATATTATAGATATGATGTAATTTAACTAACTACATGAAAAAAATAATGATATTTTTTGTATTGTATTAGAACATCTTCAAATTTTCAGGAGTTGTTTCATTTAGTTTTTAGAGAATTACCTGGGTTTCGTGTACCAAAAAACTATTTCTACGACCCATAATGTTTTAGAAATCAGTAACAAGAAAAATTGTAATGCTGTATCCTAGATCCTAGTGATACCTGACAAGATGTGACAAGAGGGAAAAATTAAAATAAAAGCGGCCATATTTTGTTTGTTTATTGGTATTAATATACAAAAGTATCTACATAAGTCAAAGAAGAAAAAAGAATACACAACGGACATTTTATTATTTATTTATTTATTGAAATAAAATACCCAACGGGCAGAGCCCAATTACAGTATAAGTTACAATTTAATATTAAGTCACAATTTAAGAAGAAAAACAAATGGAGGAAAAAAAAGTGAAATGTAAGGTCAACAGTACAACAGCTTAAAAGTGAATATACAATATGACCGCAAAATATATTTTCGAATATAAGTTTAATATCCGGGAAGAAAATCGTAGGTGTAATTTGGTGTACAAAGCGTAAGAATTTTTTCCTAGATATTGGGTGTGTAATTCAATGTCAGAAGAGATATATTGGCAAGAGTAGTTGTTTCCCAGAATATCAGTAGTTAAATGGCCTATAATAATGTGTCACAAGAACGACACATACGATACCTACACATTATAAAAAAGGTGTAAAGGTGTATCTAATAACACACCTAAAAATCGTCCGATATGCTTTATTCATTAGCTTTTTCAGTTCATAACTTTCTCAAAGAAAATTGACAGTGGAGTATCGTGGATTCCGATCAATATAAATAAATGCCACCTCTGGGGTCCCTCAAGGATCTTCTCGGCCTACTATTATCTCTAGTCTTTATTAATGACATTTGTGTCAAGTATTAATGATTGTGCGAGTGATTATGTCAAGTTCAATCTCACTTGGACAACATTCCTGATTGGCGCACCAACAATATATTAACTTCAAGAGCTTTTTATTTTCCCACCCCTAAAACTAATTTGTTTAAATTTTCACTTTTGTACATACGTAATGGACCTTAATTATAGTCAAATGCAAAATTCTGTGGATATTTTTCATGATATTTGATGCATCAATCAGAAAGCCTTTACAAATTAGTAAATCATGTTATTTATACTTGTGTACTTATATGTTTGTTTTTTCTCTTATTTGATTTCTTAGTTTGTCATATTATCTGCAATTCATTTGCTTTATATTTGCGTATAAGTTTTTGTTTTTATTTACATGCATGTTATATTAAGTGTTTTTTTTTTTCTTTTTTTACTAAATCTTAAATGTTATTCCCACTCACTAATTGACTTAGGCTGTCGAATGGTGTATGCTAATAAATAAATAAATAAATAAATAAATAAATAAATAAATAAATAAATAAATAAATACATTTAATAGAAACTGCTCGAGTTTCGTTATAAAATTTAACACCACAATATCCAAACCCATCCCAGCCTGGGATTGGGTCTTTGATTCTCGTTTCAATTTTAATGGATATACTTGAAGGTTTTGCTTTTGCACCACTATTTCATATCTTATACTGTCAAAATTTAAGTACTATGAGTGAAATTGATGAGTCACAGTTCCTTGAAATACGAAATACTATAAATAATATATCTCAATAAATAGCTCCAGATAACCCAGTTTCTCTACCGCCGTTTGTAATTCCGATTCTTGGGCCAACCACAATATTTTACTAGCTAAATCCTCAGTCCAATTCCTACGAAAGCGTCGTGAATGAGCAGATAAATATTTTCCTTCGAAACCGAGACCGAAGCCATAACCTACTTAGTTCCAGACAAGTGAAACAGTGACGTAACTGCGCTAAAATTTCGCTGACCCAAAAGCCCTGTTAGAAGATGATATCCCCCCGAAAGCTTACATGTCTGGCAGCAAATAATTTATGAAGCGTTATCATTTGAAGAAGGATGAGGAAATGGGGGAAAATGAAATGTTTGATATTTGGTCGAGTATAATGGTACAGATAAGGACAATATTCACAAGTAATTACAAGCAATTATTTAAAATTTTTAACAGGCACCGCTAACAAACTACATATATCCACAAGCTATTACATATTCAAATACATTATCAAATAAGCATAGCAACAGATAACATAACCTTTTTTTATTCGATAAAAAAGCATATAGTAACTAATATCCTAATGTGACCTACAAAACAATAATATACCTTCCCATCTTTCGAAGTTTTACTGCAACTATTTTTGTGTATCTTATTATCCTAAAATTCCTAAAAATTAAAACCAACATCATCCATGCAAACAAAACTAAAGAAATTATTTTTCAACGACAGTCAAGGTTAATTCAAAACTGTCAAAAATATATGTGTATATATCCTCGTATATACTCTAAAATATATTACTAATTATACAAATAACTTCTCAAAAATTTGTCTGCTGTTAGTAGGTATAAATCTAGATTTCTAGCAATGACGGGTATAGAGGACATTTTTAAACAGCTAACGATTGTGCGAAAAGTGAAATGTCACACATCCCAAGATTTTCAAGCCGGTCCTGGTTCACGTCACAAATCGCTGAAATTTGACCTCTACAATGTTACAATATATTAAACGTGTTTAGTTTATTTCCTCTCTAACTACTGAAACATGTAAACAATTATTAGGTAGTGGTAATAATAGGTCAACACAGAATTTATACAAACAATTTATATCAAATATGCTTAGTTCACAGTTCAAACACCTTACCCGAACAAAGTTTACTATTTAGCTCTATTGAAAACCACTACGATTTCCATCGTTCGGCAAAGTCAACCTTGAATCCAACATTTTATTAACCGTTTAATTACATGCTGTCATTTATCGTCTAATAAAAATTAAAAAAAAAGGCCACCGTAACCTTGTAGTTTGAGAACATCTGCGATAATGTCATAAATTTGACTAGACTATCCTAAATTGGATACCCAGAGTCGATCCCGACCTCAATAGGACAGTTGCAAGTACTTAGGTACCTAGTTTGTTACAATCGCTGTCAAACATGAAATTACAACAAAAATTACTTTGCAGAGCCTATTCTTTAACTAAACTATTTTTTTTATACCTATTAACTTGACAGAATACAAATAAAGAAGAGATGGAATATAAAGTACTAGACAACTGGTTAATCCCTAAAATTAGTTAAAATAGTTTATAGATAAATATGATTAAAACCAGTATCAAGTTCACGAAACTACAAACCTACAAACAGCAACACTTAGATTTAACACCAATTGTCAGTAAGGGACACAATCACCATATTGTGATAAAAAAAGTTTTACTGTAAATTTGATTACCTACAATTTATATCATACCTACTAGGTTAGACACAGACATGCAGCTTTCAGCCAAAGTAACGGAATAAGTTACTTTCTTACGAGAAGTCAGTATGCATGCTATCACAGTATCTACATATTTTGAAACGTCCAAAACAAGTTCTTGGTTAAAATGTGTCTTAAATGAGGTTTTATGTCAGTGTGGTGGTATTTATGCACGTATAGTGTAGAAATAACCTTAATTTTTCGCGTTAGAAAGTGGAATTAAGTCCACATATTTACATGGCAGTGACTGAAGACAATATTAAGATCCATTTTCAAGATCAAGACGTGCTCTCGGCAAGAATGGATGGGCATTAATACCAGCGCACACTTCCAGAGAGACATGCAACCCAAAACACATGATTTCTGGCCGACTTGGTAAATATTCAGCGCGGCGACCTACTAAATATAATCGAGGGAAACTCACCTCTCTCCGTTCGGCGGTCGATTAATCCATGGAAACACGTCCAGGGGGGCTCACCACTAGCTCAAAACACCACGTCAATAAATAAATTGCACTGTATTGCATCCAGCTAAGCGACAGCCACACGAAACACCGACGATCCGACTTTGACTGGCGAACACGGCGAACTGGCAATGGTGCGCAAGAGCGCCGCCGGAGCAATGGTGGACGCGCAGACGTACTAACTCCGCCGCGCGCTATGAATTGAAATGTGTGTACTCCCGTAGCACGGTCCCATAGGTCTAAAATTAGGCTGCATGTACATAAAAAAATCGTGTTCATTTGTAAGTACATATATTAAAACTAAAACTAATGAAAACTGAAAACAAACAGCTTTGGAAGTATTATAATTAGGTAAGTTCCCTCTGTTAAGAAGCTCAAAGGTCAATTATGCCACCTATTAAATTCGTAAATTATTTTAATAGAATAACAAAATATCACATTGTAATCATCATATCGAACCTGCTTATTTTAACTATTAAATATTAATATACAAAAAAAAACGAAGTGGAAATGGTAAAAGCGCTTATAATAAACGAATATATATATATATGCGTGAGCAAGGGTGGCGGAGGGTTGATTTGGTGGGTCGAAAAGTTGTGAAAAATTGTATCATTGGGAATTCTGGCGAAAGTTGACGTCAAACAAAAAAGTATCCAATACAAAAGTTGTTTGTAGACCATGCAAATATCTACAACTTTTGTAGAAGTAACTTTTTAAGATAACCTCAAAATTTTTGAGAAAAATGCGAAAAACAGGGTTTTTTCTTATTTTTCGTTTTTTATTCTCATACTCATTTCATACTCATTTCCGCAAAAATAATTTAATTTTGACGAAACTTGGTGAAAGTATACCTTTCTGTGTCTTAAATAAATAAATAAATAAATAAATTTCCAAGATATTCATTTTTCCGAACTGAAACACTTTTTTCAATGAAAAATCATCGTACAGAGTTCTGCCGATGATTTTTTTCGGTTTGGGATACTTTTTGGTGAAATAAAAAAATCTGTAATCACAGTTCAAGAACATGCTCAAAAAAGCAAAGAAAATAAAAAATTACCTGCACCAATGAATTTTTCAGTAATTATTAATAATTTGTTTAAATTAAAAAAAAATTAAAACTGATTACACCATTCAATTGTACGAAAAAAATACAAAAAAAACTGTCTCATTATTTAACCCAAAACATTATTTTTGTACAGTATTGCTATAAACATAAGTCGAATAGTGAATTAAAATAAATAATATTTTTTTCCGTAGGATCAATTAGTGCACTTACTTTTTAAAATTTTGATGAATTCATAGATATACAGTGTGTCCAAGATACGGATGGAATCTAGGAAACGGTAAGAGATACGGAGTGGCTCAGAGTAAAAAAAAGTTGTGTTTTTTTATAACCTAACCTAACCTAACCTAACAATATGCCGTTTAGAAAGTTTTAAAATTCCGGGTGGTTCCGGAGATATCCGGAAAAACTCGAAATTGTGCAAAATTGTTTTCAGGATTTATTTAAAAACGAATTTTAAAATAAAATTGCATATTTACAATGCCTCTTTTTTGGCTCTATACAATGGCATCAATATTTTTGCAATCCGACGTTTCGTCTTCGATGGGTCATCATCAGGTTAATTTTTTTAAATATGCCACTGCTATTTTTATGACCAAATCTAATCATTTTTAATTCTGAATTAGATGATGTTACTATTGTAATCGCTTAAAAAGGTTTTTAGCTATCATTTAAAATTTCTCCTGAGTACGACTCTGAACGCTTCCAAAATATCTATTGGATGAAGTCATACAGTATAAAAGTCAATACCGCAGAAAATATGCAAAAATTTTTTTTTTACTACTATCAGCATTACTAATTAGATATAATAAAACATTTCATAAATTCCTATTATTTTTTTATTAAGTAGGTACAACTTTTCAAATTATTGATTAAAAAAAATTGTTGGATATTTTGTGCTGAATTGTGCTGACTAAGGAGAAATTTTAAAGTTTTGGGTCAAACAATGAGACACAGTTGTTTTTGTATTTTTTCTCGTAGAATTGAGTGGTGTAAACAATTACTGAAAAATTAATTGTTGATTTTTTATAATTTTTTGCATTTTTGAACAATTTTTTTATTTCACCAAAAAAGTATATGTCCAAAGGAAAAAAATTATCACCGGCAGAACTCTGTACGATGATTTAAAAAAAATTTGCCGCTTTCATCAAGTTTCGTCAAAATTTTTCACAACTTTTCAACCCCCCCAAATCAACCCTCCGCCACCCCTCCTCACGCATTTATTTTTTTGGGATTTATTATAAGCCCTTTTGCCATTTCAACTTATAAAAGTCCAGGTAACAATTTTTTTTTTCTCCAACTGCAATTTGGTTGGTCTTTGTATTGTATTTCGTTTCGGTAATCAACAATTCTTTAAGTTTACATTAATTATATTAATAGATGGGTATAAATGTCACACGATAATAGATTTGCTATAAAATTAAATTTCATCATTATGAAAGGTTTATTATTTAAAAAGTTTGTTATTTTTAATAATAAATAAAATAAAATATGTTTCAACATTGAAATAATGTTTCATCACTTGCTTGTAACAAGGTGACGTATTTTCCTATTTTCTATTTCTAGAAAAATTACATGAAAATATAGATCTGTTAGATCTATTTAAATCTGAAAGCAAAAAAAAATAGAAAAATAGGTTTAAAAGGAATAATTACAAGACGTAAATACCTGTACCACCTGTTACCGAAAATTATGGATATTCTTTCGTTTTTCGTGATGACAATGTACAGGGTGATTCATTAATAATAGGACAGAGCTTAATGGCAGGTTTCCGACTTCAAAATAGAACGATTAAGCCAAACATACCTTATCGGAATGTTGCTCCTTTTCGATCTAGAGGGTGTTGAAAAAAGTTTTTCGATTTTTTGAAATATCTAGAGTATCTTTGAACCGATTATTTTGAAATTATGCGCGCCTGTATTTTCAGAGGTGTAATTACGAGAAGGACAACTATTTTACAAGCAGTTCTAAGGGGTGCTACTTGTAGTGCTTAGTCAGAGTAAAAATGGCGATTTATCCACAAATTAAAATTCTCATTTAACTTTTCTATGAAAATACGAACAGTTGACACACCATTTTAAGATTTTTTCATTTCCTGAATACTTTGTACATGCAAACTTAAAATCCCCTAAATTTTGTTTCGTGAATTTTTTAGTTTCAGTAAAACGAAAATAACGTTTGTCTGTACACAGTTTTTCTTCTGTTTACTGGATATTTTGCCACCTGTGAAAAAAATGTATCTATTGCTTTAATTTTGTAAGTGAAAAATACCAAATAGATAAAAAAAAATAAAAACTATTGTTTATTATATTTGTTGGAGACATGTCACATTTGATGCCTAACGTACAACGTTAAATATGAAATTAATTTATTATGATTATTAAAATTTAACATCAACAAAGATTGGACGGCTAGTTTTTCTTGTCGGATTTATTACTAGGCGGCTAAGCGGCATATTTCTTATGAACTGCCTACATCTCCAACGTAAACAAACAATTTCTTACGAGGCGGTACAGACAATGTGCCTACTACTTATTTAATGCAATGTGAACGATGACTTTGTAATAATAACAGAAATAGTGAGTGACTATGATCTGTATCTCTTGATTTATTATGTTTACCATGAATAAAACGGAGTGATAATGTGTGTTGTCTTAATGTTTTCCTTTGGTTGTTTGTTTGGAAATTCTGCCGTATGGTTTTATAATACACAACATTATTTATGGACGTTAAAAAATAGTAGAAGCAGTACGTTAATTAAAAATTTTATTAAATTTTTATGTAAGAAATTTTCAGCCGTTTTATAATTGGTGAAAATTGATGTACGGTTGAAACAATGTGAACTTTCAGGAGCTTCCGCTGTTGTGCGTTTATTTCTGTTTTTGCAGAATTTTTCTTTATTTTGATAAGGCGATTCAACCTTTCACAATAAAATGGAAGTATCTGTCGTATTCAGAGTCTCGAGCAGACGGAACCACGAAGCTGTCTCCAATTCAGGGCCAATCCCGGCCAAAGTAGAGACACATATCCGAGGGGACCCAAACGGAATTGATGTTTTCAACTAAATTTCCAAAAACTTCTGCCCAAGATCCTAACAAGCTTCTAGCCGCCCGCAAACATCAGAGTGGCAGCACAGGACATCGCTTGAGGCCGATGCTGTTGGCTGAGCAACCGTGCGCGACGCGTTGCAAAAATAGAAAATTCGACCCAGTTTCGAATTTCAGAAACTGAAAAGTTTTCCAAATATTACGGAATTCGAACTGGGAAACCGCAAGACAAAACTAAAGTACCACGTCAGACTACAAGTCGATCATCAGCATTAGCTCCGGTCGACGACAATTCAAACAGGGGTAAATTTAAAAGAGGTTAATTATCCAAATATTAAGCGGACCTCGCTGCAGGACATCTGCGGACCTGTCAAGGACTGTGATCGAACGTCGACCCTGATTCCTTGCCCTTCGTTAACCAGGAACGGAACCTGTCCAGTATGTGTAGTACAGGGTGTCTCAAACTCGATGGCATGGACCTACTGTGAGGATACAAAAAATTTAAATAAAATTTGGGACACGTGGTGTTAAATGGTATGAGGTACCTAAGCTCCATAAATTCAAGAAGAGCTGTAGAGTTATATAGAGAAAGAGCGCCTCTTTCCTGATCATAGAACCTTTACAAGATTGGAGGCGACCTTGCTACGAAATGAAGATGCATTTTCTGTTCGGAAAAATCAAATAATTGACCGAAGGGTAAGAAACAATGTTAATACAACTAGACTGTTACAGTATTTCGAACAAAATCCACAAAATTCTATACGGCAGGCTAGCCGGGAATTGAATTTGGATAAATCAGCCGTTCAACGAATTTTAAAGACCAATGGGTATTATGATTACAAAATTCACAATTTGGAGTATTTGCCTGAGCGTCACATTGAAAACAGACTTAATTTTATTGCTCAAATAGTAGAAAATGTAGAAACTGTTGATCAGTAATGATTTGCCAAACAGGCGCAACGAACACTACTGGTCTATTGAAAATCCCCACATT